TGGTTGTCGAGATTTTGATATAGTTGGGATTTTGATAGAGTCGGGATTTTGATATAGTCGGGATTATGGTTGTCGAGATACTGATACTGTCGGGATTATGGTTGTCGAGATACTGATACAGTCGGGATTATGGTTGTCAAGATCTTGATATAGTCGGAATTTGATACAGTCAGGATTTTGATATAGTCGGGATTTTAATACAGTCGGGATTTTGATATAGGCGGGATTATGGTTGCCGAGATACTGATACAGTCGGGATTATGGTTGTCGAGATTTTGATATAGTCGGGATTTTGATACAGTCGGGATTATTGTTGTCGGGATTTCAAACGTCGAGATTTCGATAGACGGTCTTTCGGATGTCGGGCTTGAGACGTTTAATAATGCACATTCAATATGTAACTTTGGTTGCAGTATGTTAAAGTGTATGTGCATTATGTTGGTGAACCTGGTATTATTTTGTTCATTTAATTCAATTTTATTTTGACAAATGACAGCCACGTGTTTTTGAGCAGTGTTGACCGTGTATAAATATTCGATGTATTTTATATTTGTTCAGTTAATAATTAAATAACCATGGGACAAATAAAGGATATCGATATGGAAGTAAGTTGAATATATAAAATTTACGAAAATCCTTGACTTTACTTTTGAGAACATTTCTTTAATAACTTTATATATTTACATTTAATTTAATTTATTTTAGATAACAATAATGGTATATAAGTTCTTTTTATAAAACCTTTCAATATATATTGTTTGTTTATATACATTTTTGTTTAAAATAATCTATTTTATGTGATGTACTAGTTAATATCATGTTAGTTGTTTAGGTTATATTTTCAAATCTTGTAATTTATATATTGTCTTTCTTGTTGTTGATTCTTGTTACTGTATTGTTTTTATCATTGTTGTTTTTTTATTTTAGGAAAATTCTGAAAAGAAATCAGATGTGGGTGAAGTAGAACCACCCAAGATAAATCCGAAGAAAAGGAAAGGCAGTTATAAGGAGAAGCTTCTGTTAATGAAGAAACAAAAATTGTTATCTGGTGAGGATAATGTTTTGGCTGAAGCTCAAGAACCAGTGCAGAAGGAAAATAAACCAAATTATGCTCTATACAAGCAGCCCACTGCAGATGAATTAAATCAGTTGCGTGAAACTGAGAACTTATTCAATTCCAATATATTTCGCCTGCAAATCGACGAACTTCTGGGTGAAATTAAAGTGAAACCGAAATACGAAAAGTTATATGATTCGTGGTTTGAGACATTCAAGGAATCTTTTAAAACCATCACCGAATTAGACACAATTCCATTGGTTAATTTCAAGAATGTTAAAGGTAAGAAATTGAGCGCTCAGCAGAAGTTTATCAATCAGACAGTAAAGGATTTGAATCATGAACTTTTTTCGAAACCTCACGATCTTTCCATGAAATTTAATAAGCCGGTTAGCGTAACACGTATGGCTAAATATAATTGTATTTCGAGTAAAGAGTTGAAATACAATCCTAGTATTTGCTTGGCTATGCCTAAAGAAACGTTCTCACCAAAGAGCGATTTCTTGTATAATAATTATGCCATCAAGAAGTATCATTATATGGTTTATGTTATGCAACATATCAAGAGTTTGGATATCGTGAAAGAGGTGAAAATCGAGAATTATTTTGGTAATTATTGGATGCCAATTTTGACGATTGTGCCCAGCAATTCCGAAAAGATAACCATTAATTTATTTGTGGTTCCTGAAGAGAATACATTTAAAATTAAACGCTTCCTTCCGCATAATAATAACATTAAGAAAAATATTCTCACCGACATGTTTGAAGACGTTAAAGTCGAAGATTTCACTAATGAAGGTACATATTTGCATAATTCGATAATTGCTCATGACACTGGTTTATTATTGAATAATTCCACAATTGAGGAGAATCTGCGAGGATTGCAGAATATACAGGATGGTATTAAACTTTTGATGGTATGGCTGAAGCAGAGAAAGCTGAATGAAACCTATGCTGGTTTCACAGATGATTTGTTGGTGTATCTGATAGTGTATTTAATTCTTAAGAAGAAAATTACTAAACACATGAGCTCTTACCAAGTAATAAGAATCTTCTGGTTCTTTTTGAGCTCTACTCAAAATCTCCTAAGTATTGCAAATACCGTTAAATTAGAGGATTTATCGAATTTCAAGGAGTTTTCGCATTTCGTTTTGGTGGATGCGACTGGATGTCTGAATGTCGCTGCATTCCTTGATTCTGAAGTCTTCATCAAAGTAAAAAACGAGGCTGCTTTGGCGGTGAAGAATTTGGACAATAACAGGTTCAACACATTCACCACCTTGTTCATATCCAAGATAACATTTGCGATCCAGTATGATGCCCTTCTAAAAATCAAAGACGATAGCAATTTCTCATCTGTGTTCGATGGTTGCGATACAACGAATCGATTTAAGTACTTTGGTTTCTACGAAATGTTAATCAGGAAACGGGTGATGGACAATCTGAAGATGGGATTATCGAACAGGGTGTTGGAAATCGTTCCAATCTTAGCAGAGAGCACGATGGATAAACTAGTATTTGGAATTAATCTGAATCCGGAGACGTGCTTGGACGTTGTCGTCAAAGGTCCCAAACAGTTTGACGCTGATGCGGCTAAGTTCAAAGAATTTTGGGGACCGTTGGCCGAGTTAAGAAGGTGAGTAAACATTCAAAAATATTTTGCTATGATATTAAAACATTAATTGATTTAGATTTAAGGATACTTCCATTTATGAAGCAGTATATTTTGATGATGCAAAAACCATTCAAGATAAAAGGCATATCTTTAAAAAGATTATCAAATACGTGCTCAAAGAAAAGATGGGACTGAAATATACGCTCAATGGGGACGAAATGGAGAAAATTTTAAAGATCGACAATATTGTAGCACCGTTTCCCAGTGGTTCAAATGAAGAGGCGACGTTAAAGATAAAAGCCATACATTACGACATGAGTAAAATGCTTAGAGATCTGGCATTGCCTTTGCCGGTTACAGCGATTCAAGGCCTCTCAAATGTTTACAGGTATTTATTTTCTTAATGACAAATTTATAAAAATAATTAAATTTGTGATTTCTTCTGTTTCCAGTTATACAATGTGCTATCCACCTATTCCAACAAATACCACTTTCAATAAATACAATGTCGAGAGTACTAAGGAATCGCACAGTCTGCTGTTAGGAGATCTTTTAAATGCCAAGCATTTGCCGAATTACATAGAGCCGGTGGAATGTGTCATTGAGTTGGGAATGCACTCTAAATGGCCAAGGGAATTGGAGCCAATGAGAGCAATGAAAATGTTGTTCCTTTTTGAGATGTCCGATCTTCTTTGGAAGGAGAAGCATGTGAGGTCTGCTGTTCGAGAGGAATGTTGCATTGATATATTTTACGAAGGATTGGTGTTCAGACTGTGGTTACATCATCCTAAAGAAATAGGCTACCTTATGCGTAATGTTTCCGCTGACGGCGTCGTTTACTTTAAAGACTCCAGAGATAGTTTGCACGTTGAGTCCAAATTCAAAGTACTACCAAAAATAATTGGCGCTCTTAATGGGTAATTATTATTTAACAATGTTCTGATTATTACATTAACTATTTGGTTATTTTCTTTAGGATTCATCAAGAATCTCCGAGCTTCGGTCCAAGCACGTGTCTGATAAAAAGATGGATCAGGGCACAAATGTTGGACGAATCGCACATTCCCGACGTGGTTATAGATCTATTGAACGCTTCCTTATACTTAACTCCGGAGCCATTTTCTGTACCAACATTGCCGCAGGTCGGCTTCATCAGGTTTCTTAAATTCATCTCCGAATTTGATTTCAACATGCAGCCTGTCGTCGTCAATTTCAACGACAATTTAACAAGTAATCAACCGGCCGTAAAATTGTTTCTTATATATTAATAATTTAATTTCTTTGAACTAGATGAGCAATTATACGAAATGGACGGTAACTTCCAAAACAACCGCGCAGATTTCAGAGATCTGCACATCATCACGCCTTACGACGAAGGAACCTCAATCTTTACAAGGGAATCCCCGAATAAGGATATTATCAGGGTGTTGCAATTATTGGCCCAAGCTACTTATAAGCATCTTACAGATTGCATAATCTCCCAGGACTCGTTCAAATTCAAGGTAAACAAAGTTATAAATAGTTTTGGAAACATGATTTTAAATAGCGTTAATTTTTTTTTAGAGCGTATTGGTGCCAAACATATCCGAGTACAATTTAATAATTCACTTGGACGCGAAATGCGTATTGAAATATTTACAAAAAATTGACTGCACTTCCACAAACGTAATTAAGATCGAGGAATATAAACATGATGCACGCACTAAAATTCCTGTAGTTGGTTTCGATCCAATTCAGATTTACTTAAAAGAACTCAGGGTTAGTAAGAAAGAAAAATATTATGTTGATCGAATAATTTATCTTCTTTTTTTTATAGAAAAATTACGGCGATTTCGCATTATTCTTTTACGATTCTTATGGAGGCTACAAAATTGGAGTTTTGTGGAGGAAAAAGTCTCTGGAAGAGAATGATTTTAAGGTTGTTTTTGATTTGTGTTATCTGATGTATTTATTATTGATATTTGGTTTTCATTTGTGATTACAGATATTGAATGTGCCTGCAAGACAAATCAAGGATGGGAAACTACAGTTGAACATTGCAGCATTAATTGAGGATTTCAAGTGCTTAGGAACTCATTGTGTAAAAAGTGTACAAAAAATAAATTGATTTTATAATTATATATTAAATAAAAATAAAAGAAAAATCAGTGCTTAATCATGTATATGAGGCTATCAAAACTAGTACATACAAAATAAAGTATGGTTTATACTTAAATTTTACAGAGATCTTCATAAATTTACTCTTATACTATGAACATTCTCAATTACCAGTTTGTCAGTTGAATACATTTGCCCAATCATCACCTAAAATATTTGTTCTTAGTATCTGCAAGAAATTGTAAACAATTTTAAGTTACCTGTCGTCTGATGATTTCAAGATTTGTTTTAGCCTCTTGCATTTTGACCATTATCTGACTAGGATCTGATAAATTTCTGTTTGCCTTAAAGCTATCTTTGATCTTTCGCACAGCATAATTTCTAAAAATGTAATACCAACAATATTATAAATAATTTATATTAAGAGAAAGTAGGATTTGTTAACCTGAAATTATATGAAGGAAACTTCTTGGATTCATTAAGTAAGCACTTGTAAAGGCTAAGAATTTGTCGTTTGGATGCCATGTTAAATTATCTATCGAGTTCTCACTAATTTGAAGCACATGTAAATTGCAATACGAACTAATAGCTAAAGCACGGATAGAAGAGCTCCATGTAAAATATTTAGAAATGGCTACTGCTTGTGGTACTTATTAAAACCGCTAGTGTTACCAACTGTATCAACTAAATATAGGTACAAATATCAGCGTATTTACCATATGAGCAATATTTTAAATTTACTTGGGGATGTAATACTGAAATAAATATTATTTTTCCTTCATTAGCCTCATTAATTTTAAGAAGAAACAATTTTAGAAATAAAGGTGAACGCAAATAATTTTAGGAGTCATCGCAATCGATGGAAAACCCATCGATTACCGCTACTCGTTTATATAATATCAGGGAAATGGTATGATTAAGAACAGCTTTTGTATAAATAAAATACATTTAAAACAATTACATTTATTTAAGACATCGCGCTGCTGTACATGAATGTTAAATTACAGAACCCCCAACAAAACGGTCACAAAAAGAAAACAAAATACAAATTACTCTGTTATATTTCGCAATTTATTCCATTTTGGCATTTAAATTTACTATTAAATATACTATTTATTATTTACCCGATCGCGCATCGCGCGTTGCTGTCGACAGCGCCCGAGACGTGACCCCTCAAACAAACAGTACTTTATTAAATAGCTTGCTAAACTCGTTTACTTCTTCCAGTCATCCTTTTCGTAATCCCATTGGGATGAGAGACCGGTGATCGGGTTCACGTGCAAATCGAGGATACGCCTCAATTGGGCCTGTTGTTTTTCTTCAGAGAAACTATCAGGCAAAGGTACTCTGGCTAAAATAACAAACAAAAAAAATTATGTAACACTGGATAATGCAAGTTGCTTAACAATAAACTTACTGACAACCCTGACAGCCATATAGAACCAGAGTGCAACAGAGACCAACATCAGAGAGGCGCCAACAATTTGCTTCCATTCACCAGTTGGGGCTTTGAATTCAGAATAGGTCAACTTGAAGGAGGCTCTGTACAATGCCTTCTTTTCCTCCATGGAAAGTTGACGCCAATCGCCCTTTTCCTTTTCACGAAGGCACTATAATCGAAAAAAAAAACTGTATTTGCATGTTCTAATTCGAATTTATTTGAATTACCTTGATGTCAGCAGTTGCTTCCTTCCATCTGATGGCTGGCAATGGGATGTCACTACGGTCATAATAATGTGGTTGGCCATTCATGCCATAACCAACAATCTCTCGGTTGCCAATCATAGCCCTGGTGGCATCCAGAGCTGGATTACTGTGAGCGCCAGCAGCTCCCAATGGAACTGGGCGGGCTTTGATGGACCTAGCGCTAAGGGCTAGAAGTCTGCCGGCCATGATCTGAGGAAAAAAAAACTTCAATTCATCAACATGTATGGAAATGAGTACAAATGAAATCAATAAGTTGGGTGGAAACCAAATGCATTGCATAACAAAAGGGACTTACATAATGATTGAAAATCAATATTATAAAAAAAAATATAAATATTATACAACTCACTAAAACCACTTCTGGTTTTTTACCGGTCCTTCGCAAATTAACACTGAATATTAGTTACAATTTTTTTTCTCCTTTCTGGCAAATGATTATCTAATCAATGTCATCTCTATTTTTTGGGAATTTCATATTTAATAGATGAATAAGAACCCACTTGATCATATTTATGCAATGCACTCTATCCTTTTACCCCAACAAACATAAAATATTTTAAATTTTACTTAAAATCAGGAGCTAAATAAAATATACACTGGATCTACTCACAGATTTTAAGCTAACAAAATGGCGAAAAAGACTGATGGAAATCTTATACTACACCCGCAATGCGTTCATTTTGCTCATGTTGGCATCACTAAAAAGCGCTAACTTTAAAAATTTAATTTAAAAATATGATTTATTCTAATATAACAAGTAATTAAAACTTTAATAATAATAAGAAAAAAAATAATAGTATTTTATTCATCTACTTTTAAAAAGTCTTCATTATGTTTTTATTAAATCGAAGAGAAACATAGAAATACAAGTTATTAATTTATTTGTTAATAAATCTTACAAAACAGTTGTAGTTTCATGTAATCAACAAGTAAATATTATTACAATTCGCTATCTTTTCCGGAAACGGTTTCAACTACCAACCGACAAACGACGGTTATGTTTTAAATTTATCTCGCGCGGCGGGAAAAGCTTGAACCAATGGAATAGCTTATTGTGCATGTGATTTTGTTTTCAAACAAGTATACGGCGAGTGTGAAGAAAAATGTCATAGGTTTATTTTTTTTTACGTGATTCTGAAATTAGTTAGAAATGTATATTAACGATGTGTTGAAAAAGGATGAGATTCGGAGTATTGCTATACAGGATTTGAAGCAGTTTGGTGTAAAATATAGGAGTAAGAAGGCCCGCCAATATGTACAGGTTATACCAGCAAAAAGAAATTATGTTATGCAAAAATTGAACAAATAAATTGTAGGAAACAAAAACCAGGAAGGTATTCAGGGTTGCTCTGCATTTGCTGCCCATGGAAACTGTGACTCTACCCAGTGGACAACAGCTTGTAGTGCCGAAGATTGTTAATGACTTGTGCAGTTTCATTATTACAAAAATTGACACTGAGGGACTTTTCCGGAAAGGTGGCTCAAAATCTAGACAAAATGAAATTAGAGTAAGAACTATCCTATAATATAATTTTAGGTTTATCAATATTCATATTCCTTTTTAGTTATCATTAGATGCTGGATGCTATTTAGGAGAAGAACATCATGAAGTTGATGTTGCTAGTGTACTTAAAACTTTTTTTCGTGAATTGCCAGAGCCCTTGATTCCATTTTCTTTCCATGAATTGTTTTTGAGATGCATGCTTCTATCTGAACATCAAATTGAAGCAGTTCTATTATCCTGTTTGTTAATACCAATGGAACACCTTAACACTTTAGCCTATTTTATGCAGTTCTTATTCAGAGTGTCTGAATATAGTCCATTTAATAAAATGGATGCTTACAATTTGGCAGTGGTAATGGGGCCCAGTTTATTACCAGCTGAAGAGAAGTTGCCTCATAATCCAACACAAAGACTGACAAAGACCTGTGAACTTTTTAAAGTAAAGATAATATTAAGCATATTATTAGAATAATGTTTTAATTAGAATTGATTTGCAGTTACTTATAGAAAACGCTGCTAATATTGGAGTCCTTACAGAGAGTATAATAGAGAGGATAGCTATAACGAGTTCGATGAGTTCACTCAACGTCGATGACGAAGCTAATGTTAAAAAGAAAAAGAAGCGACGAAGTGGTTCATTGACGCGAATGTTGAATGGTTTAAAGAAAATTGTCAGCAGTAAAACCGAGGAAGTCGTTCAAGAATTTCCACCGGATTTGTTGCTAACTCCGTGCATCACTAGATCCGCGAAGAAACGTAAAATCGAATCAGCCGGAATTTCAAATAAGAAACGGTAAGACAAGTAAAATTCAAAACTAAAATAATTTGTCAGGTTTGGCTTTTTCAGACGACAAATCATTAATAGTTTACCTCAGCAAGCTATATTAAATACTCCATATACTCCAGTTAGTAAAAATCCTGAGTAAGTATATCAATACTCGTAATAAAATAATTTTAAAGTTATGAATCTGAAATCGGAAAATTGAACGCTGAGTGCTTGTATTAATAATAGTATTATTATTGCTTGTTAGAAATACTACTGTGTATATACTTTTTTGATTTGATATATTTTATAACGTCTTTCTAATATTAGTTTTGCGTCATAAATAATTAATGATCATGGCTTTATTGTTTTCAGTGCAATAAAAAAACCTACCCCAGAAACATGTGAGAAGACAAAGGAAAAGAAGGTACTTTGGTCGAAGAGCAAAGCGAAAGTGGAAGAAGGTTCATCTAAAACGGCGATACAAAGGCGTTGGTCTGCAGTTAGTTCTGTGGCTGCTTTCAGAAGAAAGAAGACACGGAATTCGTGTGCCGCTTCTTTGACTCACCAAAAACCTAAGATCTTAGAGAAAGATCCTCAGATAGATAATAGGATAAACGATTTATCTGAAGAACTTACAAAGCATAAAGAACCTGAAACTGAAAACTATGTGCGCATTTCCAAAGTCGAATACGAGGAGATCAAAAACCGTGTTTCAGCTATAGAACGACGTATCTCCATAGAGCTGGAGAACGCAGAGCCGGAAGCATCTGCAACCTGTGATGATGGAGTAAAGGATGTAGAGATGGCATACGAGCAAACCCTTGTACAAACTGAGCCGCTTAGCCCTACGACAGATCAGCTCGCTAAGAGGTTGAGCAGAGAACTGAAGATTCGGCGATCGAACGAACCTAAAGTATTCAGGTCTCCGAGTGCCAGAAAAATCGGAAGCTTGAGACGCAGATCCCGGGAACGCGACCAGGTAAGATTAAATAGAAATCAGTCTTGGTGCGTGACGAGTTCCGCGTCTAAGTCTGCCCTCCGCAGGGGAAGACCTAATACCGTTCAAACGGGTTTGCCGCAGCCTACGACGGCTGAAGAACCTCCGAAGACACGTTCGAATTCGTTTCATGGTAACAATTCGCCGTCCGTAGTGGCGAATTCGATGACATCGAACTCCTCTACGGTGAGTTGGAAAAGTGCGCAAGGATTTTTCAATGCTACGCCTATGTCTAACCCTGGAGTCACTGAAAACTGTAGGGCGTCGCTGGCGAAGTTGCGCAGTCAAAACGCTGGGATGGTGCTGGCCAAGGCGAAATTGTTTGATAACCTAGTGGATTCAGAGTGTAGTAGCAACAAATCTGGAGAATCCAATTGCGTATCATCTCAAACACGTAGCACCAAAATCGGGGCTCCACGAGTTCTTGACAAGAACAGCAGGATTCAGTCGTTAAAAATGGAGGAGCGCAGAAAGAAGGCTATTTCACCTAGAAAGAGAAATTGCAACAAAAGTCCACAAATTCGAATGCAACGTATCAGCGTGAAGGCGCCACCACCTCAAGAATGTAAGTAAACTTAATTAGCGAATGAACATTATAAGATTTGTTCTTCACATTTCAGTTAAGTTTAATAATTTTAATAGAATATCTTTAAAGTACCTTGTAATGTGTAAATAAGTTGCTTCTCAGTAAATAGTCTATTTTATTACGACTTTGAACCGTGTTTTATACCACTACTATTTTATATAACTACATTCTCTAATTGCATCTATTATAATTGCATTTGTAGATAATATGGATAGGACAATATTGAGAGACTGCAATCGCCGTGGGTCAGAACCAACGACATCCCCAAAATGTGTAACACCCAGAAATGCACCCCAAATCAAGAGGACTTTAAACCCGAAGTCGCCACGCCGAATTTGCAGGACACCGGTTTCCGAAGCTAAACAAACACCGCTCAAAGTAATCGCAACGACGAGGAACACGCATCACTACTAAATTCCTTCTAGCATTCTTATTTTGCTATGCAAGTAGATAGCCCAAAATTCTGCTTTACCAGAGCATGCGAGCATAATTTCGAAAATTTTATTTGATTTTTATAGCAAGGACTTGAATTGATTAAAATTTAACGTTGACTCTATATCGAAATTATGTTCGCATTGTCTCCGAGTATGAAGTAAGGACATAAAGAAAAAAAGAAAGAATTAAGTGGCCATAGTTTATATTTCTTTATATATCGATAGATGTTTTTTTTTATATTTTCGTATATCCGAGAGTGCTGTGCAAACTATGTACATACGCATTGTTAAAGAAAGTTAGAGAGAGAGAGAGAGAGAAAACGAAGTAATCGAATGTTTTATAATTATTATTTTATTTAATAAGTTTTATTGTTTTATCAATTGAATAATTGAAAACAATTACTGTGACTTTTTCCTAGAATATTGTTTTTATACTGTGCTTTTATTTTTTCATATTTTATAATGTAATTATTTGCTTTTGAGTCTTAATAAAAAATGAAGATGTTTATAACAAGGTATATACAATAAATTTATTTTGTAAATTAATCTTTTTTAGGTGCAAAACAAAATAAATAACACGTACCGTATTTGTTAATATCACAAATATGAGTGTATTATCAATATTGATAGGAATATGTAATTGCGTTTGCGATTTGAATTGCACCAATCACGACGTTCCAC